AAGAAATTACATAAGCTACCTCACTTATAAAAGATTTTTTGTATTCTACAGCATTCTTGCTAATATATTCATAACTTATACTAACTCTTCGCTTCAGAAATTCAACCACTGAAGATTAACTCAGATGATATTGGAAGTACTTGGAAAAATAAAAATGATATGAATAATAATCCCGGGATTTTTCTCGATCAATTTCCTACAAACGCAAAGAAATTAATCCGTGAACGTGAGAGAATTAAAATTAAAATAGACATAATACGTCTAAACTATTTAACCAAACATGCTTGAATGAAGATATACTGCTTATATATATATATATATATATATATATATATATATATATATATATATATATATATGTATGTATGTATGTATGTATGTATGTATGTATGTATGTATATGGATAGTTTATTAGAATGATCAAGAACTTATACTGGCAGCACACCACCTGCATACGACTAGAAAATTTGTTCAACAGATATGCAAAATAGAAAAAGGCTTTAAGACAAGGATGGTTCTTCTCTCCGGAGTTATTCAAACTATGGAGCGAGGTGATTTTGGGAGAATTAAAAGTCTTACCAGGATTCATTATTGGCGGCGTCACTCTTAACACGTACAGAAGAAAGTGAAAGAAAACGAGTAGAAATGATTAAACATCGACTGCAAAAAGACAGAATGCATGGTTGTTAGCAAAAAGAGGAATTCAAAATGCAAATTACAAATCGGAGATAGCAAACTCAAACAAGTTCTAACATTTAAATATATAGGAAGTGTTTTAACAGAAGACGGAAATTGCGACACTGAAATCCGATGACGCATTGAGACAGTCAAAGATACATTCCAAATGTTAAGCAGAATATTGAAAAACATAAAAACTTCGCGAGAAACAAAGAAAAATGCACTGCAATGTTACATGATATCTGCCCTCTTATATGACAATGAATGCTAGACATTCTACTCAAAGATGGAGCAAAAGAAATTTAGTTCTACAGAAGGATGCTGAGGATACCATTGACCGTACATGTGAGCCAGGATTCATTTTTTTTAGCGAAAGTGTGAACAAAAAGGGAACTTATACTTAACGTCAGGGGACAGTTGAAATTTCTTGGGCACATAAAGAGGAAAGAGGGCTTGGAAAATCTGATACTAACAGGACAGATGGAAGGCAAGAGAAGCAGAGAAAGCAACGCATAATATTTTTCAAGAGCTTTAGTAAATGGATGGCGTAACAGAATTTAGAAGAAATAACAAAAAGACAAAATTTATTAAGAGCTACAAAGGACCGGAAATTGTGAAGATCCCTGATCGCCTACGTCCTGAATGGACAAGATACATACAAAAGAAGAAGAATTACTTAAATACTCGCACATTATTCTCCTCCTAAACCTCTAAAAGTAACACAGCTATTTTGCAGAAGAGTTTGCAGATGATAGCATAAAGAATAAGATCAATATATCGGACAAAATTGTTTTGTGCCATTCGTAGAACAAAATAAGTAACATAGGATGGAATGAAAATATTTTTACTATCTTTTCCCGCCGATAATATGAATATTTTCCGAACATCTGAATGATACGAATGCCATGTTGAACGTGTTCACATTATAGATAAATAGTTGAAAAATGAATGCGGAAGCTTCACAAAGGATATATTATGTAATAACATGGAATTCTACACGAGTTGTCCGGAACTTAAGCAGCTATAAACTGCTTCCTAAGTAATTAACTTGTTAACCAATCAACTAGGACCTTACCGCGCATGTGTTCTCATCTCCTTCTTGGGCCAGTATTTTGAGCTTACTAGATGACTGATACATTTAGAATGACCAAAATGAGAATATTCATCATGTCTTTCAGGGATTTTTTTTCTTTGTTAGGTTGAGTGGGAGCAGAATTTCACATGTGGGTTAACCTCACTATACTATAGAGTTAGCTCCCGTCACCTTCTGGCTTTGTCTCAAAGATAAAAGCACTGTTGAAATGTCATGAAGAACGCAATAAGGAAAACTGATAGGGTTTGAGAAAGAGGAATTTCGCAAACTCTTTTCAAAAGTGACAGAGACTCTTGAATAATTAGGGAGATCCTAAGGACAGTACTTTAACCTATTAATCGGTACCGACACATTTTTAGGAAGTTGGTTGATTGATTGCTTTGTTTTTTTATGTCTTATCAACCCTTTGTATTTTATTTAAAACCGAAGCATATTTTGGATAGTAAGAATTTTGCAAGGGAATATTGTATTACCTATTTTTTGAAAATGACAACGATTTTTCTAGATGCAAATTCTACTATTTAATCAATAGCTGGAGAGTGACAAAACATGGATTTCATACCTTTACCAACAGTAGTTGCGCTTAACGAACTCGACTGGAATTCGAACTCGGTTCTACAATTTCTCATTCTGTGTGGAGGAAATTGTACATTCATGTGTTATAGTTAAGAACCTATAAATAATTTTCGATTATTATGAACTTATAATCAAAACCGTATTTTTATAAACCATTAAATAATGCTTAATTTCTCTTTAATTAAATGGAGTAAATTTCAATAAGACAATTATTTAAAATATATTTTTCACTAATATTAAAATACTTCAATTTCCGCATCAATGTCGGGTCTAAATAAATTGAAATACGACAGCTACTAAACTGTAGTCCTGGGTATGACGCTAAACTTCATCTGGCAGCAAGGCTTCTGATCTCGCGATTGGCGGTTTGAGGAGCGTGAAACCATCTTTTAATTGCTATTCTTCCCAGTTTCACCCTGAACCGAGGTGGTAGCATCTGTTAGGGCCCCATCTATGGGGTTTTCATTTTTGCTTGGTGGTTGAAATATACATTATGGTAACAATACCAGCAATATATTTAATAAAAAAAGGACCAATAGTAATACATTTTTCTAGCATAATGATAATCAATGCAGCACCAAAGTATAAAAATACATTTTATATTAAAATTATTTTAATTTTTTTCAATTAATAGCTGACAATTCTAGATCGTTTCCAAACTAAATGAATTTTATTTTAGACAGTCGAATGTTCCCCTCGGGTGCTATATTTGTTTTTTATACTCACATAATGCTTTGACCATTCTATTCTACGATCCTAATCACTTGTACAGAATAGGGTGACATACTCTTCCATACATTTTATCTACAAACTGTATATCTTAAAAAAAACATACGAAAATATAAAATCATGTACAAAATATCTAGTTGAAGTCATAAAATTGTGTACAAAATATTTATGTTGCATACCCCTTCCCTTCTGGGGAGGTCTTTTGGTTGACGGGGTCAATTCGACAACAAAGCTGCATTCTTCTCTCTCGGTCGTCTTATCCTTGACGTGTGTCGAAATGTTTTGGTGGTTCGGAGATAAAAGAGACCTTAGAGAGATCAACAACGGGAATTTGAAAGTTGTCTATTTTATTAACACATCGACGAGTACATTTTTAACTAGCCAGTAAGTTCACTTATTGTTTTCCTGTATCTGACCTCAAAAGTCAAAATGAGGAAGTCAGCGGAAAATATAATTCTTTAAAAAATAATAGTCTGCTAGACTATTATTTAACAATTTAGATTTCGGCATTAAGTCGCTCATAGAGGTTGATATGCCACCAAATAAAATCAACTAACTAGCTACTAAACTTATCTTACAAACTGCTTTTTTTTTTTATCGAATTCTACCCTCAATTAATAGCTGACAATTCTAGATCGTTTCCAAACTAAATGAATTTTATTTTAGACAGTCGAATGTTCCCCTCGGGTGCTATATTTGTTTTTTATACTCACATAATGCTTTGACCATTCTATTCTACGATCCTAATCATTTGTACAGAATAGGGTGACATACTCTTCCATACACGTTATTCCATGCACATGAATAGGACCGCAGAATAGAGTGATCGTAACATCATGCGCATGTGAATAACACCAATAACATTAAATAAAAAGCAGTTTTTCGGAAATATTACAGTATAATGATAATCGTTTTTTAAAATTATCGACAAGAACGTAAGCGCCTCCTACATTTAATAACCGGTATTCAATAAATTAACCCCCGTAACTATTGTCTACTGTAATGAACGGAACTGTCACGACAACCCTCGTTGTTATGGGTGACAACAGCGGACTCATCGAAGAAAATAACTTTTAGTGATAGTGACTTTTTGTTTCGCATCACCTGATGAGATCTCTTGCCAGAAATGTCTTTGTTCTGAGTTTGTTTTGTTTTTGTTTTGTTTTGTTTTTTTTTATTCTGAAAGTAGCAATGCTTCTTTGTTTCAACAGCAGACGTGATACCTCACTAGACATTTCTTTTTCATGATTCTTTTTATTCTGAATGTGAATTGGATAATGCTTTTCTTCTTTCGCAGAGAAATTGCTTTTGTTGGCGAGAGATTTCTTTGCCATGAGTCCTATTAAAAAAAAAAAAAAACGAAACTGAACTGTGCCTAAGTGCAGTTCGTAAATATTAATAAAGACAGTGAAAATAGTGCCTATTCAGAAGCCGGTGATGAGGTAGTTCTCGATATGACATCATTGCGGAATTAAAGTGGTCGATTATGGTCGATTAATCAGGAAGTTGTCTTCTTAATGTTATCGGTAGAGGGAGGCGTTCCCAACCTGTGGCACATTTGGAAAGTGCCTGAAAAGCAAGCCTTGTAAGTGAAATTGGGTAGACAGAACCTTTGAAAGACGTCGATGTTTGTGCTAGCATGAAACCACAAGTCATCGTGACTGAGAGTTTGATAGTGCTGGCCTTGTTCAGATTGTTGATCATGCCAGATAATGCGTTCTCTTCCAGAAACTTTAACAAAGGTCCACTCATCATAGTTGCAGTATAAACCAAAGGTGGGCTATGCTGATGTTGAAGAAACACAAATGTTACTGAGCAGGCGTCTGCATTTCTTAGTTCCGCCAGTTGTAACTTTGACGGCGAGGACCGACCATGCCACTCACATTGCAACAGGCCACCCTCGTTCTCACCATATTCCATTGTGAGATGTAAGAAGAAGAAGAAGAAGAAGAAGAAGAAGAAGAAGAAGAAGAAGAAGAAGAAGAAGAAGAAGAAGAAGAAGAAGAAGAAGAAGAAGAAGAAGAAGAAGAAGAAGAAGAAGAAGAAGAAGAAGAAGAAGAAGAAGAAGAAGAAGAAGAAGAAGAAGAAGAAGAAGAAGAAGAAGAAGAAGAAGAAGAAGAAGAAGAAGAAGAAGAAGAAGAAGAAGAAGAAGAAGAATACTCTGTGAAATCGACTCCAGACGAATGTTTCCCTGATCACTACAATTTGAACCTGTTCGTTAAGAAGAAGCTACCCATCCGCATAAATTGTCTTTGACACTGTAACACTCTACCTCGAGTGGCCTCCGGGTTTTTTACAGAGTGAATATCACATTAAAACCAAAAAAAAATCGGCCATTTTTATGCTATGAGTAAATTAGAATAAACAGAAGATTTTACTGGCAACGGAATGTTGTTCTACACAAGGATGCTGAGAATCCCATGAACAGAAAACGTGATCAATAACGAAGTTTTAGAGAAAATGGAAACTAACAGTACACTTCTATGAAGCTCTATGAGGAGACAGTTAAAAGCTCAAAATTAATAAAGAAAGATGGCTTGGAAGAAGAAGAAGAAGAAGAAGAAGAAGAAGAAGAAGAAGAAGAAGAAAAAGAAGAAGCATTAGGTCATGGATAGTAGTTCTAGCTGCCCGGTTAATGAATGCCAAATGTTTCCTTATAACGAATCGTCTAATATTAAAATCACAATTAGTTCTTTTGTACTCTATTTTAGCTAAATTTATTTGAAGTTAATGGCCACTTACAGGGAGCACAACCCATAGTCCATATGTGTTCCATTTAAGCCCTATTTACTGTAATTTAAATTTTAAACATTGTTTTGTGAATATTGACGGAAGACATACTCCGGAAATATTTAAAGCTTAAATTGCCACACTAAAAAGAAAAAAAAACAATTGTAGTACTACATATAAGTGTTTATAAGCTTAGTTTAGTTTGGATCGCTGCCACAAATAAGGGCACCTAGTGAGGATCGAGCTCACAGTACAATAGTAGACATTTACCATTAACAAGGCGCCAATCATAATTTCTACAAAATACCTGAAAGCGTAATTCTCAAAGTAACTTCTGCCTCATATATATATATATTATCTATATATTTATCATTAATTAACAGAGAGTTCAGCCATTACAAGGCCCAAGGGGCACTCAAGTTAGAGGGTTACTCAGTGAAATTTTTTTGATGGATAGTGAAGTAGGAATTAAGTAATGCATATTATAAAGACGTGTAGGGTAGATATAGGTTGACGCGGGATTTGAAAAGAGCAGTATGATAGTTTTCAACAAAGCATCCTCTCGGGAGTCTGTAATGCAAAGCAAAAGTTATCGGGAAGAAGCTAAGTGGAAATTGTTCCTCATTAAAGGAAAACGAAGAGAATAGGAATGCTTTGGCATTGTGAACATGGCATGGAGAGGACTTGCTGGTAGAACAATGGAATGTAACTCGTCTGAACATCTGGCATAGTAATAGCGATTGTGCAGTGAACTGCTGCCAACAATTCGTTTGTTATATAAGGGTTGGTATGGCGGAGGTAATTTATCACCCACAATGCCGTTTAATCGCATTTGAACTCTATCCAGGCTGGACAGTGAAGATTGGGCAGCGCCAGCCCTGATATAGCAGCGATACTCCATTCTTGGTCTTCTATACATATTACCCCAATATATATATATATATATATATATATATATATATATATATATATATATATATATATATATATATATATATATATATATATATATATATATATATATATAATGAAACAAAATGGCTATTTTTGTATCTTAACGTTTATTCCAACGTAATTTCAATACAAACAAAATGAATAGAATAACATATGTATTTTTTCTTTTTTCCTCAATGACTTTAAAATTTTAAACTTAATATAGATTAAATTTACATTTTTGAAATGGGTAGTTTTTTAATTTTAATTTCAAATTTTATCGTACAATTTAATAATTATTAGTTAGAATAAATTCTATTTTAGTATAAACCTAACTTTAAAGCATTTAATAGTTATTATAACCTTAGTTCGTTGTCAAGTTTTTTTTTAATTCTGGTAGACTTGTTTTTTGATTAGTCATTTCAGCTCATGTAACAGCGTTTCCCCTTACGAGGGATAGCTAATTAATTTGAACCTTTTCAAACCTTTATTCTACAATCTACATTCAACATCATCACTTGATAAGACACCAGAGGTGTTGAAATAATTTTTAGATAAATAATATATATATATATATATATATATATATATATATATATATATATATATATATATATATATATATATATATATATATATATATAGAACGTGCTTTAGAGCTCTCGGCCACGAAATGCGTCGATGATCAAGCAAAGTGCCTTATAAAGTAGTTGAGTCGACGGTCTAAAGTACATCTGATCTAACAAAGGCTTACCCTGCAACAGAGTGAGGCAGGTTCAAATCTTGACGGAGAGCCCATATTTTTCTTTAATAGGATTTCTCGAATATTCAAGCTAGTAGATGAAAATATATAAATATACTGTTTAATAAATAATAATAAGCGTCTACTCAAATATGGGTATCCACTAAAAATAACGCTCATGTAATGAAATCTGGCGGATTAAGAAATAAAAAAAATCCGTCACTTCATATATATATATATATATATATATATGTGTGTGTGTGTGTGTGTGTGTGATAAATATCTACCTATATATATGAGACATATATATATATATATACATATATATATATATGTGTGTGATAAATATCTACCTATATATATATATATATATATATATATATATATATATATATATTCGACATTATATATATGTGAGTGTGTTTGAGTGCGTGCGTGTGTGTGTGGGAGCGCGTCTGTAGATTTATATTGCTCGCAAAACCTGATAGAATAGCAAAGATACTCTGATGCACGCTCTTATGTCTACCATGTGTGAAGCGTTTAGTAAACACCTTCCCCCTCTCTACACTTCAGACTAAAGGTACACGCGATGGGGGTGGCGGGTACTGTAGATTTGTTCTTTGCTGTGTCGAAATGGGTGAACTTGTGTGCCCGCACGCGTATGCATGCATGCGTGTGTGTGAGTGTGTTCGTGTGCGTGTTTGTGTGTGTGTGTCTGTTGCCTGTACATATAGGGAGAGAAATAGAGAGTGAGAGTGAAAGAAACACAGAGAGAGAGAGAGAGAGATAGGCACGCGCAAATTCAATTAGTCACTAGGGCACAACAGCCGAGAACAGGAGAAACAATTACAAGGAGCCAGTCAGATTTCACTGCAACCCAGTCGAACGATGAGGAAACTGGGAGCCTGGAGTGGTAGAGACCGCGGCACATGTCATCCGGTTAAGCAAGAGGCGGCAGTACCAATAATGGATACCAAAATATACTGCCTTCTCACTTATCCAACTGCACCCTACCACCACCATCACCGCCGCCACCAACACCCACCGTAATCTTGTCCTCTTTTTTTTTCTTTTTTTTTTTTGCGTTATGAAATTCTTTTCTCTTCCTCTTTCTTCCTTACCATATAATTCATATCCTCTTCCTCATCGTCAGCGCCGACTGTTCCATATCGTCAATTTCTCTTTATTTTAACCCTTTCCTTCTCCTGAACCTGACTGTGCCACACTTGTCTTTTTGGGGATTATTCGTGGTGGTTCTGACAAGAGATCAAGTGACAGAAAGTTCTCATAAATCACCGGTGTTCTCACGAGTAACATCCGGTAGCAAGGCCTCTGATCTGGAGATTGGAGCATTTGAACCACCCCTGACTTAGGGTGCTATCACCTATTAGGGGTCCCAGCAATGGGCAAATAATGAAGCCACAAAGAAAACTAAACCGCTATGAAAGTAGAAAATACATTTTTTATATTAAAAATACCAGCAATACATTTTTATACAAACAAAAATACCAACACTATCTATTTATAGTAGAATTGACAATTCATTTTATTACAAAATAACCAACAATGCATTTTATCTGTGATTGACGACATATAATTGCCTTTAAAATATTTAGATTTCGGCATTACATGAACCATAGAGGTTTTGCCGCTAAACAAAATCAACAAACCAACCAAAGTGAAAAAACTCTTTCATGATATTAATCCATATAATATACTAAATTTTCTTAAATCAAACTATATTCCAAAATATAACTCCAACAAAACTACGACATAAAACACACATATCACCTACTCTAATAATCATGTCTACGCAAACATGTATATGCACAAAAGCTGAGTATTATCTACCATGTATTCACTTGTGAAAGCAAAATAACATATATCATAATTTTATTACTTCCAAACTCTCATGAAAATTACATTTCGGCATTAAATGAACCATAAGGAGTTGATATGCCATTAAACAAACCAATCAATTAATCTTCCATTCCTCAGTACATAGCTTTTCCTAGTTTTACGTATATTGTTGGTTGAAGAGTTATAATACCTCCTTGATTCCCTGAACCGGCCGCCAATTTGCTCCAATGTTTATGAATACAATCGTCATGTTCATGATCCGTTATTTTAAATCGGTGGTTAGAATTATAATCCAAATCTTCACGGTGTCAATCTAAACTGAAGCCTAATATTTCTAATAATTTCTAATAATATTTATAATAATTGTGCTTGTCCCGCCCATCCGGTAGTTTGCACGACCTTTACGCTCTGCCAATACCTTATAAATAATGGACTGTTCCCTTTTGGTCGCATGGAAAGGAAGACATATCAAAAACGCTTCTTGAAAGAAAGGAAGATAAAAGTGTTTAACATCTATTTCAGTGAAAAGTTGTCAATTTCAAATCTATCCATTTGTACTCCCTTACTTCTTGAAATAAGCACCGACATTCATATTCATGATTGTTATGACACTATTTTGTTAATGTTGTTAAGCTCAAATATTTAACGATGCAATAGGGGGATTTCTAGGGATTATTCAACCATTAACTGAAGAATTAAGATTCCTCAGCAAATTTTAAATGAGAAAACAACGAAATTTTCACGGGTCAAAACTAGTAAATTATAATTTTGGAAAATGAAAATTTCACAGAAATATTTTGGAAATTTTCCAAGTTCTTATTTGAAGCAAAATATACAAAATTTAAACCAAACGGTCATAATATAAATAAGAAAGAGCAAGCGTCAGTTTAATCCATATATTCTTGCCAACAGTTTAAACTTACGTCTTGTTTTTCTTATATATAAACTAGAATTTTGGAAAGTGAAAAATGCACTGAAATATGTTGGAAAATTTCCAAGTATTCATGTGAAATCAATACGAAGTTTAAACAAAATGGTTACTATACATGCAAGACACGGGTTAATGTTTAAGTAAATATTCAGTTCTCTAAATATTCTTTTCTTTTTTTTCAAACTTTGCGCAAGTATTTTAAGACCAACCTAAGTGCTCTTATAATCATGGGTAAACATGGTACTCTCGTCTGCCTGAATGGTTTTCGTTCTGTGACAATTTCTTGATCTTTGTTCCACATTGCATTCTTTTTCGGTAATCTTACTGTGATCTAAAATGACACGAGATATTAAGTCTTACATATCTCCGAGATCTTTTCTTCTGGTTAGAATGTTTGTGGGGGTGAGTAAGACCTCTTGGTTAAACAGAGAACTTTTTTTTACGAACACCTCGTATAAATTATCTTCTTGACATTATCACACTACTTTTTTCCTCTTTTATTATCCAATAGTAACCGATGGTTATCACTCAGGATCAAAAGAGAACAGATAACCTCGAAGCAGTCACTTTTGTACTCTTGCTCGTTTCAACTTTAACACTTTCCTGGACGGTTAGCCGAGTTAAAACGTTACTATACTGACCATGTGACTTCTTGATAATACCAGCCAGAAGAGACGGTCTCGCAGTGCAGTATCTTAGAGAAGTGCTTACAAATCATACCATGACTTGACCCAAGATATTTAAATGAAGTTGCGTAGATGAAACGTTTTGGAATCAATCGATAGTTGTGCTAGCAAGAAGCAACACGGGGGCTTCAGACAATACGCTCACTCAGAAGTTTTGGGTATATGGGCCTTGTTCAAAATCGTTGATCGCGCTAGACTATACGTTCTCTCACCAAAACTTTACGTTTTACTCCAAATATTAGTACGTTTTACTCCAAATATTATGGTGTCATAAAGGTTATTAGCACTAAAAACGAAATTAGCGAGCCGTGTTCAATATCCTGATACGGCTGTTCAGGTTCACTTAGCAAAAACGTTGGCTCTCTTAGGTGTTGAAGAAATGCAGATATGGCTGAGAAGGCGCAACAGGGGTTAGCTAGCCACCGTCCCAAACGAGCATACTCGGAAACAAACAGTCAATCATTATTTACTTTCAGCTTTTTTTGTTCTTTCTATGAACAATCATTTTTCTAGGTTCTTCGAAACGACGCCAAGAACTCTACAAATGAGTTAAAATAGTTAACTTCAAATTCTACACCTTCTATTAGTTCTCTGACAATGTTTCACCATTTCTTCGGCTTACCATTTCCCCATTTTGTCTGATCTAAACGCAAAAACCATATCGAAAAAAAATTCTTTACTTTGGTTACAATGAATATAACTCGCTTCCGAAAACGGAATAAATAAGATTTTAATTTGAAATTACTAACTCAAAATTCCCTGTTCTTATGAAGTTTCTGACTCGTTTTTTGCCACATTATTATTATTATTATTATTATTGTTGTTGTTGTTGTTGTTGTTGTTGTGTGGTAACATTTTTCCAGAGAGTAATTTTAAGTGTCTAATTAACAAGTCTCTTTTGGGTTCTATGAGTTAAAAGGTCACTGTAGGAGAGTTGCCTATGCAAATTTGCGACGTTTCGTTTAGATGAGGAGTTTTGCGGCTGATACATGCAGTTCCGCACAGTAATGCTTTGCAGCTCTGAGATGCTAATTTTTCCAGGAATTTTACTCACGTGATTTCCGGTACTTTACCATATCCAACGCCACTATCGCAACAGGGATAATCGTCGTTTTAAGTTCCACATTTTTGACGGTTTTTGAAATTCTTTTTTAGAAACATTACTTTTAGAATCCTGTGAGCAATTATTATTCTTATATTATTGTTATTATTACCATTTACTCGTTGTGTTCACGTCAGTAGTAATTGGAGATTGAGTGACACAAAAATTTCTCCAATATTAAAGCACGCTTTTGGCTTACTTTTTGTCGGTAATGGTTAGATGGTTTTGACTTTTCCCAGAAATTCCTGTTCCTCTGATCTTTTTCTTAAATTATAGAGATCGTTCTCAGCTTTCCTATATGGCTGGTCTGCCTCTGAATAACACAAAGAGTTTTACTCTCTGCTTATTATTTTCTTATATTATTAACAGAAACAGAAATCGGTCTCATATTATGATTGGCAATGAATACGTGCGATCAATAGTAGTGATAATACGAATCGACCTGCCACTTCTTCTTCTCCTCCTCCTCCTTTTCTTTTTTTATTATTATTATTAATATTAATATTATTATTATTATTGAAGTTTGCATGAAAGCACCTTCCTCAGTATCCTCGAAGTCCCCAGGGACACTGCTCTGTGCAGTATAAACCCTTGCTTGGATTTCATATTCAATCCAATTTGGATTGCAATGTTTTTTTCTTTTAAGGTGTTCTCCACGCAGCCGTGTTTATGTCATCCTTTTATTTAACTTTTGAAATGCTAATGATGCCGTTTTTCTTCTTTTTGTTTATTTTGCTGTTGTTCTTTTTGAGTTTTATTCAAGTCTTATCACTTTTGCTATGAATCTTTTTCATCAAATTACTCTCTACAATTTTATTCATTACCGTATGGTCCGTTCAGAACACCAATATAATAAGTGTTACAATTGGTACAATAATACCTACTATTTTTAGTTCTAGACACAAGGTCCGGATATTTCCCCATTTTTCATGTTATTTTAATTTGACACACTTTGGTCGAACAGGGATTTTATTTATTTACACTATTTATATTTGAACTATTGTCATCATCTTTGTTGTTGTTATCACAACGTTTCGACCGTTCTACCCTCTGACCTTCCTTTCTGGGTAACCTACAATGAATTCTGAAGAGGGATATTTATTATATGGGTATCATCTAGTTCTTATATATCTTATTTTCGCCCGTTTTCACTGAGTTCAAATGCACACTGCCCGATCCAGGGATTGAACTGACCAAATTCACGAACGCTTTAATACACTAGCCCATTGTTCTGTAGGATAATTTGCTGTAGTAAACTTGGAGCCTTAAACCTAACGTGTCTGCTGATTAAAGCTACGACTGCTAAAAAGCTAAATATTGTGAAATAAAAAAATGTTATCTTATCGTTAGTAAAAAATAAAAGATATCTGAACTGCAATGAAATATCATCCTTTTGTATGGCGGTGAATACTGGACTATATTATATTGTTACAGATGAAGAAGAAAAGATTTATACCAACAGAGACGTCATTCTACTGTTGAGTACAATGGACAGAACATTCGAGAAACAGAGACGTCTAAAAAAAAAGTAGCTGCTGTAATGAAAGCTGTCTTTACAACCCAAAAGAAACAGCTAAAACTTTTTGGTCACGGTATAAGAAAAGGAAGTGTCTGGAGAATTTAGCACTCACAGAAAACACTGAAAGCATAAGAAACTATAAGAAATAGCATGTAACATACTTAGAAACTTTGTGTAAATGTTAATGGTAACATTAGCCGCTTCCTTATAAGGAAACATTTGACATTCATTGACTGAGCAGCCAGTGCTGTTTACGGTCGAAATGTTTAAAATCTTTCTCTTAAGCATCTTTTTTAGAAAACAGGTTTCTCACGTCCAGTAGCTGTTATCGTTCTTTCCACTATTGATGAGGGTTCTCTTCCTAACTTTTTATCTGAAATGGTGTGGAATGTTAACAGCTTGATTATGTCATTATTTTCTCTTGGAGTTACCATTTATCAATTTAAGTTATTGCTACTGTTGGTAGTTTTCAAGTGATGCGGTTTCTCTTAATTGGTACAAATAATTCCAGTCCAAAATGTTCAAAGGAGGATGACCTTTGTCAAGACTCGTAGCAAGAAAAGGTCAGAGTGGAATGGTAAAATATCAAAAAATTACTTGGAGCAGCAAAAGACAAGACGTTGTGGAGAGCTAAGATCGCCCACATCCTGAAAGGATATGTCACATAAAAGATGTTTTGTTTACTCACTAGAATCTTAGTTATTCACAGTCCGCTTAGAATTAGGTAAGTAAACCAATTTTGTTTGTTAATCCATGAAATCTATAAAAGAAGATTCTCGTTCACGCTAAATCAATTAAAGCCTTAATTCAAATAATATCCAAGTTAGAAACAATAATCTTCTCTTATCTTTTTTGAAAATGGTGACGACAGTTGTATTGTTGACAAAAAATTCTTATCTACCCAAAAAAGAATATCCTATATCATACCACTAGCTTCTTCCCTACCCCTTTTATTTGTCTCCTTACCTCTCTTCCCCATTCCCCTACCTTTATTCAGCATGTCCCCTGTTTTAGTCCCTCACTCTTACATCCCGCCTCCTTCCATGACGCCCCGACAGTTCTGACTCGCTTCCTTTCTTGACTCTTCCAAAATGTTTACTCTCCCCATTCCTTAGCCCCCGTTCCAAGAAATGACTAACGTCTGAATATGCATGGCCTGACTTTCTGCAACTTCGTCAGACTTGTAAGCATGTGAGCGCGCCTGCAGATCTCTGTATTTGGCACGGAGCACGCATGCGCGGAATTCTGAGGGCAAGAGTGGATGTCTTTGTCAACGTTGAGGCGCGTGGTAAGTTGAATGTGCGTGTGCATGTGAGTATATCGCGTTACGACGCGGCTCACATTGTGAATTGCTCGACTGTGTCTAACTCCGGGGGGTTGTAGCGTACGGGTAATTACCTCTCTCTCTCCTTCCCTCTCTCTCTCTCTCTCTCTGTCTGTCTGTCTCTCTCTCTCTCTGTATCTCTATCTCTCTCATATATATATATATATCAAAACCAGAAATGGCTTCTCCCCCCCCCCAAAAATAAATAAATTATTGAAGATGAGATTCTTTATTTCCTGCTGGAGTGATTTCATGAAACGTTCGGCGAGACAGGGGAAACGCTGGACAACTTGACAGATAAGCCGATTGAACAATCATCTCAAATTCTTCGAGCATGGTGTCATAAAGGTTATTAGCACTAAAAACGAAATTAGCGAGCCGTGTTCAATATCCGGATACGGCTGTTCAGGTTCACTTAGCAAAAACGCCTTTGGGAGAGGCACGATATTTTACATTGCCAAATATTTACAAAGTACAAAAAGAAAAACGCATTGATGGTTGGTGGTAAAGAGAATATTTGTATGAACATTTTGGGAAATGATTCCCTCCAAAATACATATCGAGCAAATAACTGTTCGATGCAGTATTTATCACCGTTGGCAAGGACTGGCATGTCTTCATATCTGTATGCTTCAATAAGGGTCTCTGCTGTGGAGTAATGACAAGCCCGCTAGCCTTGCAGATTGTATAATATTTATAAGTCCAGTCTTTACTTGAGGTATAAAGCGTCAAGACCGTCAAGTATATTGAACAATGCAAATTTCAATCGATTCATAGAGCAATATATTCATATAAATCCATCATGGTAAATAACTATCTATAACAGACTTATCATGTCCGTTTATCAGTCAAATTTTACGTATATTCAGGAGTTTACCTTGTTACATGAAAGCATTTTTAAATACACACACACACACACGTGAACGTCTGTACGTGCTTGTGTGTGTGTGTGTGAGAGAGAGAGAGAGAGAGAGAGAGAGAGAGAGGGAGTGACTGTGTATATTTCGGTTTGTACAGGTGCATGTAAGTATCTCTTCCTCTCTATCTTAGTTTTTTCATATCAATCCCAGACAGTTAAATCTATCTATCTATCTATCTATCTATCTATCTATCTATCTATCTATCTTAGTCATTCCCAGTTATCTGCGTATCTGTGTCTGCCTGTTCCTTTCTATATGGATCTCTGTCTATAAATTCGATCCCCTTCATATCCATATCAATATTTTATATCGATCTAGTCTCTTCATATCTATCCCTGTCATTTCATATCTATCTACCTTTCTGTTTTTCTTTCTTTCTTTCTTTCTTTCTTTCTTTCTTTCTTTCTGTCTGTCTGTCTGTCTGTCTGTCTATCTATCTATCTATCTATCTATCTATCTATCTATCTATCTATCTACACCAGTCTCTTCGTATTTATCTATTTATCTATTCATCTATCTTATTAACTTCATATCTATCTATCTACACCAGTCTCTTCGTATTTATCTATTTATCTATTCATCGATCTTATTAACTTCATATCTATCTATCTATCTATCTATCTATCTATCTATCTATCTATCTATCTATCTCACCATCTCTTCGTATTTATCTATTTATCTATTCATCTATCTTATTAACTCACTATTACACCAGTCTCTTCGTATTTATCTATATTTATCTATTCATCGATCTTATTAAAATCTATCTATCTATTATTTATCTATCTATTCTTCATCTATCTATCTATCTATCTCCAGTCTCTTCGTATTTATCTATTTATCTATTCATCTATCTTATTAACTTCATATCTATCTATCTACACCAGTCTCTTCGTATTTATCTATTTATCTATTCATCGATCTTATTAACTTCATATCTATCTATCTATCTATCTATCTATCTATCTATCTATCTATCTATCTATCTATCTATCTACACCAGTCTCTTCGTATTTATCTATTTATCTATTCATCTATCTTATTAACTTCATCTATCATCTAACTCCTTCGTATTTATCTATTTATCTATTCATCGATCTTATTAACTTCATATCTATCTATCTATCTATCTATCTATCTATCTATCTATCTATCTATCTATCTATCTATCTATTATGCCTGTTGTAAAATATTCTGAATCGTGAGTGAAAAAAATTCTTTATTTATCAGTTTGTTACGCTGTTCTTGTTCCAGCCTTTAATTTATTTTTGTAGAAATGTATCTATCATAGCTAGCTAGCTATCTCAGTCTCTTCACATCTATCTATTTATCTTTTCACCTATCTCAGTAACTCCATATCTATTTGTCTATGTATCTATCTATCTAGCTAGCTAGCTAGCTAGCTAGCTACATAAGTAGCTAGGTAACTACCTAGCTAGCTATCTTTATCGTCTTCATATCTGTCTATTTTTCTCTTGACCTATCTCAGTAACTTCATATCTATCTATCTATCTATCTATCTATACCAGTCTCTTCGTATTTATCTATTCATCTATCTTATTAACTTCATATCTATCTATCTATCTATCTATCTATCTATCTATCTATCTATCTATCTATCTCAACCAGTTTCTTTCTATCTATTCCTCCTACCCCTATAATCCATTATTATTATAAACTGACAATATTTTTGTGTGCTTCACACGTTTTATCTTATCTCATGTGGTGTTCATTCCGTCCAATATATTTGTCTATAAATATCCTTATGTGTCCTTCCATTTCTCTGTCTTTCTTTTTTTATTTATTATTTCTGGGCAATTTCGCAAGTTTTCTAAACTGTTGTACTAAGTCATTCAGCTCATGACGTTAACGTTTTATACTTGCTTGAGTCCAAACTGGACCAGAATGAAACCGTAGCTGCAAGGAATATCAATTTCGCATTTGGGACAATGCTGTTCCTGGACGCATAGCAATCTTTAAGTATCACAAATTTACAGGTAGCGTATAGTTTAGAAAACCAGGAAAGAGGTCGGCCAAAACCATCAATCAGTGATGAAGATTTGAGAACCATGGTGAGTAAAAGACCCAAAAGCCTCATAGAATTTCCCGCAAACTTTAATACTTGGAGGCATTTCAAGTCTTTGAAGAGTAACTGCCAAAAGTAAAACCCGATAAATTCACTTTGACTTGAGTTAGAAACATAAATCAGATTCTGGGAAAATTACATCAATCATACTAGCAAGTACGTAACTGATCCTTTTCTTTTCATTGTTTTTATACTTACAATTTTTATTACTGAATTTTGTATCAACTGAATAACCATCTCATGGATACGGATGAAGTGTCAAAACATCATTTGAAACACTGTTATAATCCTTAGTATATTTTGATGAGGACATCTTAAAACACGAGGTATTTTATAGATTATAATTCTCTTCAAAGACGTTTCATAATGAGTAGTAACTCTTTTATTTTTAAAAAAAGCAGTGATTTCATTAAAAGCAAAACAGGAATGCTGTCAACTAAACAACCATCAGTTAATGATGAAACTTTGAAAACTGTGATGGTGCGAGGCGGAAATTTCCGTGAGACATAATTAGAAAGGTAGGCATAGAGAATTGAACACTCACAGGACACAGTAGGTGCAAGAAAAGCAATGCAAATTAAGTGTAAAATATTTAACGAGTTATGGACGGCAATAAAAAGAAAAAGACGCGACAGTAAAAGTTACAGAAAGACATCATGAAGAAATATGGTCTATAAAAAAGATGCTAAGAAGACTGATTTCAATCCTTAAAAAGAAGAATTGACTGTAATGACTGGAACCAATTCCATAAAAGAAACATTCGGCATTCATTGACGAACCTTGCATTAGTGTTAGTCGAATCCATGTTTAAGACTATCTTTCAAGAAAATTAAATTTCTCAAGTCCAGTAACTGTTATCGCTCTTTCTAATATTAATGTTTTTTTCTTGTTCTTCCAAACCGCTAGTAGCCCGCTAGCAGGTCGATGATGGCAACACCAGCGGTCCTCTGGTGGCAGCCACCGGTAGAACGCCGGCGGGCCACCGGTGGGCCACTAGTGGCCAACAAATGTTAACATTGCCGAGACGAACGCGCCGGCGTTCCCTTAGCGGGCCACCAGCGGTAGATGTTAGTGGCATGAGTGTTGGGCTAATGTTTACGGTAGTATGGATAGTCACCATCTTAATTGCAGAATTATTTTTCCTTTGAGTTACATGTGCTACGCACATGAACTGTTGAAAGTCTTTAAACAATGTGATTTTTGCTACCTGATAGCCTTTTTCGTATGATTATGTAGCGCCAATTTATAAGGTCTGGTGATAATTCTATTGAAGTTCTAAAGGATTCATTCGCTGAAACCATATTTAATCATTGATCTGAAAAAACGTTTGCATAGAGATTATAGTTTAAGCATTCCTGAACGAGTTTGGTGCCATGTGTGACATCCACATGAGCGTCTAGATCTCGCAATGACTTGAGTTCTTAGGTTAATATTTGGGTTTTAAAGTTTCGTGAGTTGATTCCGTTTAATTAAACGCTAGCATGCAGACCCGCATATGTATATGAAAGTTTGGCTCTAGTCTTGGACTTACGTTGTTTCTAATTTTCAAAAAAGACCTTCCTGATGTCATCAGTTCTTAACTCAAGGACTATGCTGATGATACAACTGGACAAAACAGTTGTGTAATTGGGTTTGATAAATTCAAATTGGCACCTGAGCTCAAAAATGACCCACAAACTGTTGTTAATTTTAACGCTTCCAAAATAAAACAGCTTTCTTGTAATCGTCGAGAGAACTTTTTATGTCTTCAGTCAGCATGGCTGATGCTAACCTCCAGGAGAGTAAATCCTTGTGACTTCTTGGACAAAAATTTTCTGCAGACATGAAGGCGAAATTTATATTGAATCACTTGCTATGTCTGCTGCTAAGAAAGTTGGTACACTGTGTCGTGATAGAAACATTTTCTCGACAGAATCTGTCTTACACATAATTCTAATTGAATATCGTTGGTCACATTTGGTCTGGCGCATCTGCTATGTATTTAGAGATTCTTGTAAAAATACAAAGATGTTATTACTCCTGATCTAACATTTCGGCTTCAGTCACTTAACCACCGCCGTAATGTAGCTTTCTTGTGCCTTTTATATAAATATTTTCATGGTGATTGTTCTGATGAGTTTTTCACTTTATTTCACTTTGATAATAGACTTTATGAATTTAACCGTACTAGTAAATAGGTGGCTAGGTCTTATCATCTTATACTTGAAAAACCTAGATGTAACTGTAAGTTCTATGTTAAGAGAGTTTTTTCTTTAGCACTCTCTTCCAGTTTCATGCTTTCTTACCAACTTTGATCTTCAAACATTTAAATGCAATGTCAATCGTTATTTTCGGTCTTCATAATCCCTGATCTTTTATTGTTGTCTCCTTTTGATAATGTTTTTTTTTTCTTTTTCTAGTATTTTTTCACACTCAGTAACCCATTGAATTTTAGTTTTTTTTTTTAGTTTTTTATTTTGTGTGCGCACATATGTCGGTGTGTTTGTGTTCAGTTGAAGAAACAGATCCGTTATGCAGTGTAGCTCATTTGTGATGGGAAAAGTGTATTAGTATTAAATAAATAGCAGTGTGGCGGTTGGATACGTAAGCGAATTTAAACTAATCAAAATAAAAACGTACTAGCAAGCATGAATGGAGATTGTGATTGATGTGTGAAGGAAATAGTTTTGATCAAAGAAGCTAAACAATTTATGAATGTAAAGACCATCATGAAACGGTGCCGCCATAAGCCATACAATCAACTCCTTGTTTTCAAAATAGAAAGATTGATATCTGCCCCTTTTCTTTAACTGGACGATTTGGCGCGTTCTCTTCGTCTCCGAAATTTATCAGCTTAAAAATTTGAAATGCTCTGATGCTCTGATTGGTCTGAATATTTTGAATGTGAAAAAGAAACCTAAATCTGTCTTTCGAAATGTTATTCTTTCGTCCATTGACAGTTGTCAAATTTCACCTAAAAAACCAAAGGTACCCGTAAGAAATAAACTGAGTCTATTTTTACTTCGATTATGACAATTCTTCTTTTTTTTTTTTTTTTGAAATAATTGAAACTAATTGCGAAATCCAACGAAAGTCAACCTTGAAATAAAAATAATTGTTTGTAAGGAAAGTAAGGACCTACGCACATCAAATTGTCTTTAATTTAAGTGGTGGCAGAAGAATTATTGTTGAACTTTTAAAAGGTAAGCTTAAATATTAATGCAATACTTACATGCCGCGATTCATTTTGAGTTCTCTAGCTTATTGTTGCCTATTATTTACGGCAGCAGTATGCCTCTCAGTATACTAAATCTCCGCCAACAGGGGACCACATTGCAATCAAATGAGTCAAGATTGCAGCGAGGAAAAGAAAGTCTTATGCGAATGAGAACCGAAATCAAACGACAACCCAGGGAGTTTTCAATGCTGAGAATATGCAAAGACTCTCAAACTCCTGAACGAATTGAATGTCCAATCAAGAACCCCTCCGCAAGAGTAAACCTAAATGCGCCGGATAGGGCGGCTTTTAATCTAGTAATATACACCTGGATGAATGTAGTGATTTTCCAAGCGTAGCTTGGATGTGGCACAAGGTCGAAAGTAAGGGGATTGAACTCACTACTCAGCCGTAATTGTTCTACCAAGAGAAGCTTGCTAACCATTACACCACCTCGAGTTGACCAATCTGGATGAATGTATATGTATTTGTGTATGTGTTATGATACAAGATAAATAATATAAAAACTAAATATTTATGTGGAATGGATGATAGATAGATTGATAGATAAATAGATAACTATCAAAATAATAATTGCAAGGAAATATCTTTATTCTCAAACGGGTATTCTTCATTTTGATATTTTATTAAAAGTCACATACTTGGGTTTAATTTGGATTTGATTTGTACATTTTCTTCGGTTTATAATCTCCCCTAGAAAATATTTTTTTTATATAATAATAATTAAATGACACAGATCTTACTAATTAACCCATAGCTTGGGCTGAAGAGTTGGATTACATACTTTTTCATACTTTGCTAATGGTATTTGCGGGTAGGTGAATATAACGACTCCAAATGAAATTGTAACTTGACTCTCTGATTAACAATTCCGAGCCATTATGCATTATATCATGCGCTCATCCAAGCTTACAGCACCTAGTATTACCACGTGGTTACCCATCTAGGTACTGCCCAGGCTTGATCTTGCTTAACTTCGGTGATACAACGTGATGTGGTCGAAACATTTATGCGCCTATGTCCAAAAAGATTTTACTGGAAGGCAATGATCGAATAATTGTTAGAAACATATTAATCGATGATTACTATGAGTGTCAAAAGGGCGGTTTTCGCATAACACTTTTACTCTTCGGCAATGATTATTTTTTTAAAAGTCGATTATTGGAATTGTAATAAAACCTAAAAATATGAAAGTGAATTTATCCATTTTCTTTATTCTTGAGAACTGACAACAAAAATGAATTTATTATATTATTTATAGAAATGGTTGGCAAAACATGGGTATTTGTTAATTAATTCAAATTTTATAAAATGGTAAATAATAAGGACTTCCGTATAGTTGGTTCCCATATTTTAATAATTTAGTCATTATTT